GTCCAAGATTAACCTTCAGGGTGGATATAGCTCGCCTCACACCGAGGACCTATCCACTTCTTCATTTACCCAGAATGCTTTGCATGTAAATAAAATGTCCCCGTCCGTGCAAAATATTTTGAAACTTTTAGTTTAAAAATGATAAAAACTGAACATCCTATAATATTTTTGCAGAGTTTGTTTTACAGTTAAAATACATGTTTATTAAATAAAGTCTAATGTTACAACTAATCAGAGATCCCTTTAAAATGTGAGGGAATGTATTTAAAGGCCTTGCATTTGTTGAAAGGATGCACATTGTCCATCGCCTTTTTACGTCAGTTTTACATTAAAATGATGTTATGATGAGGAATGTTGTAGCCACCTTGGTCAAACCTTGAGAGTACAGTTATGTGCAATCATGGTGGTCATAAACTACTAAAGAGCCACATTTCACCGAAGATCTTGTGGTGATTTTTGTSCTTTCCAACACTATTTGACCTTTTTTTTTTTAGCAGTGCAAGCCGAAAACATTTTAATGATGATGTCAGCTCAGTCAAGACCAAGGTTACGCTCACACTTCAATAATAAACTTTATTCATGTTCTGATTGCTGACCATCCTTCAGTGTCTGCTTGTGGTTGCTGACTCTGCACCAGTTGTTGCTCCACACCATGTCGTCCCGGCCTCTGCCCGTCATACTGATGCGGCTTAGACCCCGACACCAGAGTCTGTGGAACAAAAAGCTCTCTACATCAGAAGCGAGACCTCATCACGTGTCTTTTATACACCGTGTTTCTGTCAAGGTCACTTACCGTTAACTTGACAAATTGCGGTATTCTATCGAACAATCAGCAGCGGCATCGAATGATCACTATTTGATTCCTGCTTCTCTGCATTCAACCCTTTGTGCCAGCTGTAGGAGCACTATTTGGCTCAGTCTTGTCCTTGGTGCCTGAAAGCAAAGCAGAGGCTAACGCAGTCGTTGTCATGGTGACAGAGAGCCAGGCAGGACTGTGGTAATACTGTAATGATGAAGCTCTTCTGGATGGTGCCGCAGTAAACACTGCGCCACCGATGTCCCGTTAAAGAAGAGCACGGCGCACCAGCGTTCATGCAAAAGAAAGGAAAAAAAAAACCCCGCCTGTAGGGCTAATATCAGCTCAGATTATTTCTCCTCGGTTATTTCTCTTACATTCTTCCACCACCTCCTGTCTTCTCCTCTCCCTCTCCGTAATGCAGTCTCCCTCCTCGATGCCCTGCACCCTCTCCTCCTTTGTGCAGGTTTGCAACAATGTCCTCCCTCCCCAGCTTGTCTTTTCGTCTCCTTTTTTCCCCCCATTCCTTCACTCTTTGCTCTTTATTCATCCCCGGCAACACCGCTACCACTCTCCATCATCAACTTCCTTTTCTCAAAAGCTCATTTACTTCCCCCTCGCCCCTCCTCATTACCGCGTCCTGCTCTTGATGATCTTTCCAAATCTAATTTCGGCAAGAAGGGAGTGAGGAAGTGGGGGGACACTCAAGTGGACCTTGAAGGTCACTGGGCTGCAGGTGTCACACATGGGAGCAGTTTGTAGGGAATTCGGCACATTCTGCATCCCAGAAGTCTTCCAGCGAGCCTCCGGATTGAATATTCAGAGCACTGACATGGCTGTTCCATCGYGCACACACCTTTGTGTTGCGGCAGCGCAGAGATGGATGGCGGGAGAGAACAGAGACAAAGTGCCGGAGGAGATAAATAAGTGTGAAGTGACAGATTGCTACTTCTCCTTTTATCATCTTCCTCCACCTCCTTCTTTCTCTCAATCGTCTCCTTCTCCTTCTTCGCCGTAGCGTCAATGCAGTGCTCATGCAGCTAACACTCGCTATCAGCACACGCACCTTCTGTGCCCATAGGCTGTTTGTCCAAACTCATCCACACTTCTGTCTTACATGCAGATTTGAGGAATAACTTTAGGAACATTTTTTTTTAATTTAGTCCATCCATCCTCCCACTTACAAAAATCTCTGCTTCTTGTGTTGCTCAAAAAAAAAAACTCATGCGATATTGCGAGATGTTACGCTCAGACTTATGTGTTGTGAATGACTCTCAGCTACAACCACACTGAGTCTGAGTTCAGTATTTGCAGAAGGGACTCCGTTGCAGACATGTTTGTGGCGAAAACACAACACAGAGTTAACAGAAGCTACATTTGTATTTGGTACAACAGTAAAATATATTACAGTACTAATAAGATTTTAATAAGAAGTGGTGTTTTGTTGAAGCTTTGTGAACAGTTAATATCTTACCTGTTGTAGATGTCTCTTTGAACAACCTCAGTTTGGAGAAATGAGTTTAATTCTGGCCAGACTGAGGCGCTAATTGCTAGTCTGAGTCGAGTTAGGAGCAAATAAAATTTTTGCCACCTTAAAACTGTCATGGTCTGTGTTTTTGGTTCCTTGGTTTTTCTAGTGTCTCAGTGWTCCCCCGTGTTTCTCTGCCCTGCAGCCCCACCCTTGCTCACCTGTTTCCTCTTGTGTCTGCTCCAGGTGTTTCTCATTGTCCTCATTAGTTTCCCTTTTATATTCAGTGTCGTGTCATCCTGTCTTTGTGTGAGTTTTTTGTGCTGCCTCGCCAGTCTTTTTGTTTGTCATTAAAGACCTTGATTTTTGAATTTTGAACCCGCCTGCGCCCTGGGTCATTCCCTGCCAAAACATCACAAAAATCACCCCAGTCTCAAAAACTCTATTAATCTGAGGTTGTTCAAAAAGCTATCTACAACATTTAAGATAATAAATGTTTTAAACTTTTCACAGAACACGTCTCTTTAATTGTAGATAATTTACATACTTCCCTTTCATATGTACTCCTAGCTACTTATGTGTTAGGTCTTGGTATGGAGTTTGGAAAGCTGTTTATTTTACTAATTAACAAGTTCACTCTTGCAGTTTGTTGCAAATGCTTGTTTGAAGACTGTGTATAAGCCATGGCCATCTGTGGTCTTCAAGTGGCCAACCCCCTCCTCATCTTTGTTTTCATCGTTGAGGTTCAGATTCCACAAATCAGCTGATTGACAGCTGACAGAGTGTTACTTTATGACAGTGCTGAAACATCAAAGTGGGATCTTGAAAATATTTTCAGAATTAATTACATTTAAAAATAACTACTAACACTTTGTCTTAGTTGTTACAAAATAGTGAGATTAGTGTACTTAAAAATGGTCAAAAGTAGCATAATAGAAATTGTTACTATGCCTGTTTATTTGACCTGATATCAATGTTCATCAACCAGAAATAGTTGGGGGCACCAAAGTGTCTGAAAAGTTTGGGAACTTTGTGTTATCAGACGAGTTATTATAAACAGTTTAAACTGCATGAATAATGTGATTGAAAACTTTGGAAAGGTGACTTTTTAAAACACTTGGATGCCTTAAAAGCAACATTTAACTTATATTTTACCATCAACTTGCTGTGTGTCATAATATCACATTCAATTTTAGAATATTTAGGTGAACATAAATGTTAAAGGTCTATGCCATTTGTGCAGCTTTGATTTCAATCAATTAGTTTAACTTTTTTTTTCTTTACATTTATTTGGATGTGATGATAGCTGAGTCATTACCAACACATATTCTGAGTGTGACATCTCACAGAGTGCAGTTAACATTTTCAAGATTGGACCAAAAACAGCTAAAGTTGCAGATAATTTTTACCTAAAACTCTGGCATAGAAGGTTGGTGGGTGAAATGCGTTCCTTTAAGGAGTGTTGGGCCTTTCATTTTTAGATGAAGTGAATCTGTTGGACTAACATGCTAGTAAATCTGACAGAACTCTCTGTGCCTCAGCTTGACAGAAGTTACTTTTGTGGCTTAGACCTGTCATTTGTAATTAACCTTCAGCCTCCTGATGTGTTTGCTACTTGTATTTACCCTCTCAGGCTTAACTATCATCTCTGTCATACTTTGTCTTCTTTTCAAGACACTGTCACTTCTAGTTGAGATCCTCACAGTGATGAGCTAACTTAAAMGAATTTCGCTAAAAATCTTTGCTTAGAAAACTTTCAACAACTACTATGTTTACCCATTTGATTCTCTTGCTGGTGTTATRCTACCTCTTTTCTCTTATGAATAAACTCACATTGTCCTTCCCGCACCTGTCTGCTCCCTACTGTGTCTCCACCTGTGTAGCCTACTTAGAAGCTGCAACAGTACTTCAGTTTTTCCTCTTTACGCAGCAGAATTGCTCATTTCCACTACAATCTCATATTATTTTACTTATAACAACATTGTCTTCATCAAGAATAGTAACACTGATCTCACATTAAACAGAATCTAATATTTATAGGGCAAAACTCTCCTTATTGGCTTGAAATGTGCATGAGACTCAGGTGTTGAGCCAATAGAGGAGCACGTTGAGCCGGTCCCGCTGGTGGTATCYTGCTTCCCTGGAACAGAGGGGTGCTGATATGAGGGTAGAGGGGGATTGAGAACCTCTGTGTGCCTATGTGTGTGTGTGTCTTCATGATACAGAGGAGGAGAGCACTGCAGCAATTGGAGAAAGTAGGTCAGACAGCGACTAGTGAGAAAGATAGAAGAGAAAAGCGGTAGGGAGAAGGGATGGAGAAAAAAAGAGGAGGAAAGGAGAGAGGGACAGAGGAAGWATACCAGAGATTACAAAGGAAGAAATTACAGAAAAACCTGAAAAGTMATCTAAAAAAGAATAACTTGATTCTCTTTAGTGATCATACTTTACTGCTGCTGTAAAATAACTTAGAACCAACCATTACACCTGCTGTTAATGGATGCAGCAATCACAAACAAACAAACAAACAAACAAACAAACAAACAAACAAACAAACAAACAAACAAACAAACAAACAAACAAACAAACAAACA